ATTTTTTTTTTTTTTTGAAAAAGTAAACGACAAAAAAAAAAAAAAAAAACAGGTGGCGAACCCACCTCGGGTGTCACTGATGCAAGTGCTCTAAGACCACTTGGAACTAGTTAGGTCACAATTGGGTATCGAATTTGACTAATAAACAAGACAATAATGCACACACAAAACTCTTTACCAAGTTTTTTCATTAACCTCTCTGTTCAATAACCATACAAAAGCAGAGAGAAGATGTTACAAAAAGCATCCACAACTGAAAGAGTACATACCCATTATGATATATTGCGCACCAAACTTGCAACTGTCATAAGATAAAACATATAGTCTCCTCCACCTTTTTCAACATTTCGCCCGATACAAACCACAAAAACAAAACCCATTGTGGCGCTTGAAACATACCCTTATCAGACAGAGATCATTCATCAACATTAACAAGCTCATACTCCACAAGAGACAGATTATTATCCACTTTAACACTCATCTCAACCGGTTCAGTAACCTCAATACGACCCCATTTATCAACAGCAAGCCTCATCGACCCCTTGAACATATCAATTTTAGCATTCCGGAGATTCACAGTAGCTCCTGGCTTCATCAAATCCACTAAAACACCCAAAAAGACACAATTGATCAAATCCACTAAAACCCCAAAAGACATTAACTTTTTAAGTATCAAAAACAGTAAAGTCATAAATTTTAAGTTAACCCATTTGAATATCACATCTTAAATAACAAAAAAGATTCAATCTTTTCACCCACAAAACCTAATCACAAAGGTCTCACCTTGATCAAATTCACTAAAACCCCAAAAGACATTAAGTTTTTAAGTATCAAAAACAGTAAAGTCATAAACTTTAAGTTAACCCATTTGAATATCACATCTTAAACACTAAAAGATTCAACCTTTTCACCCACGAAACCTAATTACAAAGGTCTCACCTTGATCAAATCCACTAAAACCCCAAAAGACATAAACTTTAAAGTCCCCAAAAAACAGTAAAGTCATAAACTTTAAGTTAACCCATATGAACATCAGAGGTGTCTTCAACCAAAGATTCAATCAAAAAGGTCTGACCTTGATCGTTGCGAGCGGTGAAGAGGATGGAAGCAGTCTCGTCTCCGACGAGACACTCTGAGATCCGATTAGGTCGGAGGTGAGAAGAAGCGGCGGCGTTGGGTTTCTGAGGAACGGAGGTTTGATCGACGACTTTGACGGTTAGAGTGTGTCCGCTCGTGCCTGGTTTGAGCTGATCGACCTTGACGAAGACTGGTTTCTTCTTCTCCTGAGGAGTAGCCTGAGGAGGAGGAGTCGTTTGTTGATACCGAGGAGGCGGCGGGTTTCTTCCGTGTCGGCGCGGTGGAGGAGGTCCGTTTCTTTGACGGGGTCTTTGCTGAGAGTTGTCGGTGGTGTTCGATGCCATGAGGAGTGGAGAAGGAAGGTAATGGAGATTTAGAGAATGTGCTCTAGGGATTGCTACGAATGTTTTGATCGGTAGGAAGAAGACTTATGGTGGGACTTTTGATTCCTTTAGTGGAATTTTACTGTTTTTTTCTTGTTAAAAGAAAATGAAAGCAAAAATGAAAATGATGGCAGTCAAGGCGGCCACGTCATTGAAAAAGAGTGGAGATTCGGTTAGAATCTAAATAGGCCCATTAATAGTTGAGCCCGTTTTATATGGGCTATGCGCCTGTTTATTTACCAAATTACATCCTCTTGTATTGCAGGGTTGCGCAACATGATCGATGTGATTATTATCCCCAAACGACTGAGTTAAGTTGTAACAATCCATGAACAGAAGTAAAAAAAAGAATTTCGCCGTCTGAGGGGATCGAACCCTCGGCCACGGGATTAAAAGTCACGCGCTCTACCACTGAGCTAAGACGGCTGTTGATCTGTATTGAATGTTTTATATAATAATCGTTAGAAAAGAGGAAGGGAAAAAACACAATAGTGAAGTCTACTACTTCTTCTGGTCAGTGGCGTGGTGGGAGAGAGAGGAGGAAGATGACGACGGGAGAGGAGGGTTTAGGGTTTTACAAGGAATACGTCGCCGGAATGATGGCTGGTCTCGCCACAGTCGCCGTTGGTCACCCTTTCGATACCGTCAAGGTACTCTCTTTTCAAATTCCCAATTTCAATTTTTGTTTTTGTTTCATCACACCTGTGTTTAGACCAATTACGGATGCATTGGTAGGAAGAATAGCCATTTCTTGTTTTAGTTTTATCACTGTATTAGCTTCTTATGTTTCTGTTTAGGAGAGGTAAAGGTTGATTCTTTTTGGGGTATTCTGTCAGGTGAAACTTCAGAAACATAACACAGATGTGCAAGGTCTCAGATACAATAACGGTCTCCATTGTGCTTCAAGGATCCTCCAAACTGAAGGAGTATGTATCCATCCTTTCACTCTTGCTTAACGAACTTAGTTCTTGAAAGTGTGAATTTTTCTAGTAGTGTCAATGGTAACCTACATCACCTTAACTTTGCTGACTTGGAAATTATATTTAGGTGAAAGGACTTTACAGAGGAGCAACATCTTCGTTTCTTGGAATGGCCTTTGAAAGTTCGTTGATGTTTGGAATATACTCCCAGGCTAAGCTCTTCTTGCGGGTAAACATTGCAGGCCAAATCATCTTTTTCACTGTATTCAAAGTATTTTGATTTCTTCCAGATTTCAAATTTTTGTGTTTTTTTTATTGTGAAGGGAAATTTACCAGATGATGGGCCACGACCAGAAATAATTGTTCCATCTGCTATGTTTGGTGGAGCTATTATTAGCTTTGTATTATGTCCAACAGAGCTAGTAAAGGTTTGATATCTCCAGAGCTATTATTAGTTTTGTATTGTGTTTACACAGTTAATACCCTTGATGGTTTCCTTGGAGGATAATCATTGTTTTTCTTCAGTGTAGAATGCAGATCCAAGGCACTGATTCTTTGGTTCCTAACATCCGTAGATACACCAGTCCTCTTGATTGCGCTGTTCAGACTATTAAAAATGAAGGGGTGAGAAACCCTCTTTGCTAAGATACTATACATAGAACCAAAACATGTAATATTGATGGGGATATCTTTCAGGTAACAGGTATTTTTCGCGGTGGTTCAGCGACATTATTGAGGGAATGTACTGGAAATGCTGTGTTTTTTACTGTTTATGAGTACTTAAGATATCACATCCACTCGAGATTGGAGGGTTCTAAGCTGAGAGATGGTTACTTGGTTGACATGGGGATAGGAGTTCTCACTGGTGGTCTTGGAGGCATAGCTGTAAGAAGGTCTTTCTTTTGTGTGTTCATAGATTAATGGGTGTAAAAATTAACTGAATATTACTACTGTATTCTACACTACAGTGCTGGACAGCTGTTTTGCCTTTTGATGTAGCAAAAACCATCATTCAGACCTCCCCAGACAAAGCTACTGAGACAAATCCTTTGAAAGTGTTGAGATCGGTCAGTCACAGCCAGCTTGATTTTGCATTGTCTTTGTGACTCTATACACTTGTACTCCATGTTATAGTGTTTCTTGACTTTTGAATCACCTCTCTGCAGATACACAAGAGGGCTGGAATCAAGGGATGCTATGCTGGTTTAGGTCCAACCATCGTGAGAGCATTCCCTGCTAATGCAGCAGCAATTGTGGCTTGGGAGTTCTCAATGAAGATGTTGGGAATCAAACGTGATTAGGGTTTAGCATTAGCATTCGAATATAATGTATTTGAGATCTCAGAACCGTGAGGAGCTTGCATTTGTCTCAGGAATCTGATGAGCTTTCTTGTAACAGAACTACACATCTCAAAAAAAACAAAATTTTCTAGCAGATTATTATGTCTTGTTAGCTTTCTAGCTGTCGGTTGTGGAACATATACAGATTTCCTTGTTTAGTTTAAGATCTTGGGTTTAATAAACATTTTACTTGGTCTAGATGCATTTATTGATGTCTCAGGTTTAGCAGATAGCTTTGATTACAAGAGAGATTACAGAGAGGTAAAAGAGACTGACAGAAGAGAGCAAGCAAAGGCTAATTCATGAACCTTCAGAACCGAGATCTTGAGACCATTCACATGTCATCTCATTGAGCTGTGTTTCTACGCCTTCTTTCATTGTGTCCAGCTAAGCGTCTTCTGCAACTCCTCTTGGTCTCATCAAACTCACCTACCTCGTGAAACCTTAAGAAAACTCAAAAGTTATTAAAAAAAAAAGTCTCTTCTTCTTGTATTTGGTTGTTGTCTAAGGAGGTGGAGATAACAGAAATGGTGTTAGTTACCTGCTACATTGTTGGCAGAAACGTTGGTAAAGACCAGAGATCCGAACAAGAGGAGCTTTGGCATGAAATTCGCAGACTTTGTGTCGTTTGTGGTAATGTTTGGCTCTGCTCATGTCAGCAGTACATCTCTCCACTTGGCAAGCTCCAATACTACTGCTACTACTTGTAGTAGTTTTGCCTTTCTGCTTCGTTTCTAAAGCCACTTCTTCATCTTCATCTTCATCTTCTTCCTCTTCCTCTTCAAATGTATCCTCAGCCTCTTCTTCCTCTTCCTCACTCATTTCGCTTAAAGTCCTCTTCCCTTCCGCTCTGCTTCTTCTCATACTCATCTGCAGAACTCTACTCTATCTCTCTCTCTCTCTCACATTAAAGATGGAACAAGAAGGGAAGAAGAAGTGAAAGTAGAGAAGTAACCTCCCTCCCCCCAACAAAAGTAGGGAAGGATCTAGTTGTTGGACCACAAATTTCACCATTTTTTTTTGTTTCTTATCTCTTCAATATGTACTTAGGTATAAAGTTTTTTAAAACACACGATCAAGCTTTAATGCTCTATTATTTTTTATGTATATGTCCATGCATCTCCCTATGTTCATGTACAAGCACAAGAAAGTAATGACAAGTGAAGAAGTGATTAGAGAGTAGTTTATATACTAGACAACGTCATCCTTAGGCTATAGAGACTAATTAGTCAAGCAAATTGTCGTAAATATATTAAGGATAAAGTCTGAAATTATCTCACATTACGTTTACATAATCTTAATAATTCCCTTTATATACAGAAATCTAGATCATGAAAAATGGTTATGTAATTATTTACATACGGAGTCTCTCAATTTATATTATTGTACTGCCTGTCAATTTTACACGCATCTTTTTATTCAGCATCTTATTCTCCTTTTTTTTCATATACTTTAATACTAGGATAAGACCCGCGCCTTGCGCGGAATGAAGCTATTATTTTTATTATGTTTTTAAAAATGAAACAATAGTTCGGTTTCATTCGGATTAGAGGTGTTCAATCCGGATATCGGATTTCGGTTCGGCTCGATTTTTTGGTATTTCGATCATTAAAATATAACTACTATTCTAAATCTATATGTACTTCAGTTTGATTTGGTTTATATACCATCGGATTTCAGTTTATTCAATTTTATACCAAAAAACATAATTATTTAAATTGAGATCATATTATATATTATACAAATATATAATATGATCATATTTAGAGTCA